TTTTTGGTGTTGTTTGCTTCATTCGTCTTTATGTGTAAGACACACACATAAAGATATAACATTTGGGAGTTAAGAGGTTGTAAATTTGAATTACAGTTTATGAGTCCACAGACACGGCTCCTGGCTGGATGCAGCCTCACGGTGACAGCAGACAGAGAGCCGAAGCAGAAAACAGGTGTTAGTATCAACACAGAGAAAGACGGTGCCAGACTCCTGGCAGAAACTGTATGTTTTCTTCCGGTGGATTAGCTGAGAGTGACTCAGAGGACACCAAGCTGATATGTGAAGACAGACGTGCTGTCTAATTTCCAGTGAAAACCAAAACAAACAGGAAGTTCCTCTTAGACGAAGAAATACACTGGACAGACTTGGATGTTGTACACTGCATAAAAAATAAAAAAAAAATCCTAATTTTACAGAATTAACAGCCAAACTTCTATTTTAAACATTATGCTAATAACAATGAATTACATTGATTTCCCATTTTTATAGAAAAATTACTGTATTTTTTCTGTATTTTTTTTTTTCTGCTTTCTTAAATTACATACAAATCTATGTACAATTATCTGTAATTAAAAATGTAGCTTGTTATTATAAAGGTTAATGTGCATACGAACAATTTAAAGATCTTCTCTGTAATTTTAGTGTAAATCTTATTAGTTTTATATTTATGTGACTTCTACATTCAAACTTTGTGATTCTGGATGAAACGTAACAAACTTTTTTTCATCACATCAAACATTCAAACTTCAAAGAAAAAAGTTTGAAGTACTGGAATGTATCCCAGCATGCACTGGGAGGAAAGCAGGAAAATGGTTTATCACACAACAACAACAACAACAACAACAACAACAACAACAACAACAACAACAACAACAACAACAACACACACACACACACACACTGTTCTACCATGGTGCAATGCACAATGGAAATTGAGCTGAACACTCCAGAGAAATGAGCAAAATGAAAATGAATAACTAAAAACAGTTTTTCGGAACCAAACCAAAACGCTCTTGAAAACAACAGGAAGCAGCAACAATAAAAAACAAACAACCCGGCAAAGTTAGTTGATAGTCATTTTATTGAACAGAAGAAAAAACTCAAAATGAGTGTGTTAGACTGTGGTTCTTCATATTAAAGCATCGAAGCTCATCACTAATAAAGTGCACTTTCAGTTTACAGCCAGACGGAGACTCCGATTCCTCCCCTCCTTCCCTCCCACGAGTCTGATCCCACCTGGTGCTGGACTCCCTGCACCTGAGCTCTCCTCTGTAGAACACTATCACAGTAAGATATAGAAGACCGAGTGCAACGACTGAGGATCTCAGTGAGGGCGAGTGCATAAGTGTTCATGGAAGATCAGCGCATGAAGAGTCCTTCTTCCCTCTCACCTGAGTCTAAAACATCTCAGACTATTCCTGCTACTGTTTTCTACCCTGGCTCAGTTCAACCCAGTTAATATCAATAATAGAACAGATGGTGTCCTCTGCACGAGTCTGATTGATTATGTAATTGAGTGATTGTAAAATAGCACAGTATTTCTTAACAGTTTCATTAATGGTCAGTGTTAATCTAAAATCTCTGCCATGAGCGTCTTTACATTGTAAGATCTGCACTTTAAAAAAATATTTTCCTATTACCAGAAGTGTTTTTCTACATAATATATATGTACAGTTGTCTTTACAAAGAAAATAATGTTCTGTTAAAGACGGTTGCAAGGTCAGCATCAACTCCAGTTTGGCACGTGGTCCTCGTGACTTCACCCGGTAACAGACTAAACGGAGGAGACAGTAGAAACAACTTCTCCCGTACAGACACACACACACACTAAGATAAGAAATTAATCCTACTCCCACCTCTTATTTAGATGCGTTTGAAATGGTTATTTCCTCTGAAGTGCAGCAAACAGGAATGTCATTCACATGAAAACAAGTACTTTGATGTCGCACTATTCTACAGGGCATGGCAACAAACCCTGGGGAAAACATCTACAGTACAAGGGAAGTTCTCTTAAGTAACAACGCAGCTTGAATTTGATCTCTACGGGATTTAGGATTCCAATGTGCTACGTATGACACACACACACAATTTACGTCATCGGAGTCGAAGACAAAACAAGAGAAAATGTGTAAAGATATTTTAAAAAAAACAAAAAAACAATAAAAAAACAACAACAGAAGGATGAAAGAACAGAGTTCCTGACAGCCCAGCAGGTAGCGTGCATTGCACGTGGTGAACGGGGGCTTTTACTTTGATATCACGAGAACTCAAACACAGCACTGGGAAAAGATCAGTCGAAAACAAACACATCTACTTCTAACTACTTTAAAAAAGGTCCTGTATATTAGTCTCACTGGGAAATTGCACATTGAATAACGTCACCTCTTATTGCACTGTTTCACTGTGTCGTGTCAATCAAAAGATTAAGCATTAGGATTGTGGGTTGTGTCTCTCTTGCGTCATGTTAATCTGTATTATATTTTCATTTAACATGCAAAACACAAAGTTAAACTGATAAAACCTTTTTTTTTTTTAGCTGTCCTATGAAGTTGTGTATTACATACACCATGCCCTTCACACCGAGAGCTTAGACATCGGAGTCTTAACATACAAAGCTCTCAAAAGAGCCACAAACACGTTCATTATCAACCAGTCAGTATTGCAAATAACAGTAATAAATATGCTCAGTTCAATAAATAGGGGTTTTCTATCAGAATAAAAAATTATAAAGATTCAGCTGATTTGAACGGAGGTCCGCCTGGCAGGGTTTCCTCTCACCTGTAGTGTTAGAGCGTGTGGCTCAGTTGGATTAGGTGTTAAAGTATTGGATCACACCTGGTTACACTAACATGAGCTGACAGCAGCCAAACGACCTCTGCACTGTCAGCCAGTTACTCACTTTAGGTAGTTTTAAGCTTTTGAGTTTTATAATTAATGCTCAGATATTGCTTCAAAATCTCTCTCTGCGTATTGTACAGTGTTTGTCTCCAACTTCATTCACTTCTCATGCATCCACCAGGGATATGAACACAGCAAAAGGACAGTGACGGGGGAAATAGCCCTAATGGAAGGAATTATGAGGGTGAAGAAGACATTATATACATATAAATGATATAGTACAATTTCTGACAATTGTCTGTATGTGCATCAGACCCCTTCGCCTCATGTTCCACCTCAGCAGGCTCCTCCCACTAGCACATGGGACTCCTTTTTGTTTCTGTCATGCTGTTGAGCATTTTTGCTTTTGTTTTAAAGTGCAGTCCAGATGCAGGTGACGAAAAGACAAGAAGCGAAGGACACACGGACAGAAATGAAGCACAGGTAAACCCAGAGGGTGACACTGGGACCGGAAGAGGGTTGGCACATACGTTAAGAGAGGTCAGACATGGAGGACAGGGGGGGGGGGGGAGTTCGGCTGAAGGAAAAAGAAAAAAGAAAAATAAAAAAGGTTTCTTCCTATTCAGTCTCCTCCTCTGTCAGTGATCAGATCAGTCACTCCCTGGACTGGTAGAAGAGGATGTATCCCGACTCAGAGTTCTTGGAGATGTCTGAGGTAAGCCCATAAAACTCCTCGATGGCCTGGGCGTCAATTTTCTGCACAACACAAGTGAAACGTGGTTTAGTGACAATGCAAAACAAAAAAAAAAGGTACAAACACATGAGTCAAGGGACGCGGAGCGGACACCAACAGGCTGAGACCGAGGGTGACGCACCTCCACAATGTCATCATCAAACAGCAGCCAGAAGCCGTGACTCTTCACTATGGTGATGTAATGTCCTCTGTTCGGGCCACTGAGGAAGCAGAGACAAAAAGTGATGCAGATGTTGCATTGCTAAAAACTCCCACACTGTACAACATCTGGCTGCTTTCAGCGTAAACACACAACTCATGCTGATTATCAGTGATCAACAAATACATATCATCAAATAAAATAATGCATCCTGCAGAACCTGTGATGTGCACACACTTCACATCTGTCCAGACAAACGGCTGTTTAGAAAAGCTACTAATAATTATTTTCTTCATTAATCTTTTTGTCTTTTAACATGTCGGAAAGTATAAAATCATAAACTGATTGTTTTGTCAAACCAACAAACCTAAAGATATTCAGTTTGCCATCATATAAAACAAGGAAAATTTGGAGAGCTGGAACATTTTTTTGAAGGGAAAATGACGATGCCAATTAATTTTCTGTCAATTGACAAAATGATTTTTTTCTATTGTCAGAATCTGCAGAGAAAAATCTTCTTGGATTTGAGAATCACCTCCTGCTGGTCGTCTGCCTCCTGCACTCAGACCAGCTTCAGGTTACATCCCTGTTTCTCCACAGTCATACAGTACTAACCATTGGTGTGAAATTTTGTCATAGTTTTGCTGTGTGAAGCTGAGTTTTGTGAGGTCACCATGAGCTTGACCTTTGACCTTTGACCACCAAAATCGAATCGGTTCATCCTTGAGTCCTAGTGAATGTCTGTGCCATATTTGAAGAAATTCTGTCACGGTGTCACTGAGACATCGTGTCCACGAGACGGACAACCTGACTGTCGCCGGAGGGTTAGCGGCCCGTTATCCTGACGTTTACTCTTTCGATGTTCTTGGAGAAAAACATCAAACAAACTAGTTCCCACTTCTTTCAAACCCACACCTCCAGCTTCCTTTTGCTTAAACTTTAAAGCCTCAGTGTCGCGCCTGGAAAGCCTCTGTAAGATGGGTGGGAGTGGCCCTTTAATTCAGGCTGCTAATCAATATACTGTACCTGCCACAGTGAACCACCACGGCGACCAGGTCGTACATGCGGTCCAGGTTGACCGCGTCCCCGGACGTGTTGAACAGGCGCAGTTCCAGGGGGAACACCACCCTGTAGGACAGCTTGGTGTAGCGGTGCAGCTGCTCCATGTACTTAAACCTCTTCAGGTGTAGCGCCAGGATCATGGGAAGCTTCTTCACGCGCATCCTGCACAGAGGTACATACGTGCTCAGTGTGTTTGCGGACACTTCACGGTGGCGGTGTGCGAGCTCGGGGCTGTACTCACCGTTTCTGAGCTTCCTGTTTGCTGCAGCACGTCTCACAGTAGTATTTATACTCGCTGCACAAAGTCTCTGTGTTACTGAAGTCCCTGGAGGGAGGGGGGGGGTCACAGGAGGCTCGGTTATTCAGTGGCAATCACACCAAAGGTTACCTGGTGTATTATACACTGAAGCCATACTACCTGAGACAGTGTGTTATTGATGTGTTCTGCTCCACGTCCACAGAGAGATCCAGGAAGTCCTCATCTTTGCTGCTCACCTGTCCGAGAGAGGGAGAGACACTGAACTGTCATTTCCTGTGACTGAGTCAGTGACAATAATCCTGCAATAACCCTAACCCCCCGCCCCCCCCACACACACACACACACACACACACACACACACACACACACACTCACAGCCCGTCTTTGAAATGCTTATTATACTGAGAAGCTTTTGTCTCTGCACGGTGCAGCTCCTCGCTGTTTGCAGGGGTTGTTCAGGGCGACGCGGCCCACTCCCCGCCCTCTACACTGAGAAGATAAACAGCCCTGACGTAAAGTGGGTGGTCACAGGAAATCTATTTTGTTTGAGGTTTTTTTGCATTTCTCTTTTTTGCAAACAGCTAATCCCTTCTTCAGACTTATTCAGAGAGATATTCTCTTATTCAGGGTGACACGAGGTCGAGCAGGACTGACACACACACACACACACACACACACACACAAACACACACCGTTTCACAATTGAGGCAGCGCGTCTCATTGGTCAGTGTGCCCTGGAAGATGTCGTGAACCCACGTGGGCTCCGTCTTGTTCTCCGTCTCGGTCTCCGCGGTGACGGCGGTGCCGTTGTTCTTGAGGCGTCCGTTCTGCTTCTCCTGCTTCTTCTCCTCCTGCAGGATGTCGGCCACCGTGTTCAGCAGGTAGTTGAGGAACTCGTGCGCGTCCTGCTGCATGTAGTTGTCGAACAGATCTGGAGGGAGACGCAGAGACAGCGTGAAGGGAGACGAGTCAAAGACGAGGCGAGGGAGGACGTGCTCAAAATGTAATAATGACATATTTGCTTTCAGATTGAAAACAATACCTGGCACCTGCGCTCCTCCTAACATGAGAGAGTTTCAGTTCTATATAAATAAAATCTGCACTGATGATATCAGCATCCATACACACTCCTGTTTTGACAGATCTGTATGTGAAAGGTGAAAACTGAGAAGTGTGTGTGCGGTGGGGGTGAGGGGGTGAGGAGGTGAGGGCGGTTGCGGGGGTTGGGGGGAGTCCGGAGAAGAGGCAGCGGACCCAAAAGCTGCGTCCCAACAGAGATCGCATTGTTCATTCACATAAAGAGCTTCCTCAATATGGACAGCAGAGAACAGTCAGCCTCTCTGTCAGCTCCACTCTGAATGACCTTACCACCAGCGTGCACCTGTCCTTCACCTCCAACACTCAGACCACATTACAGCCAACACAGAGCCGCACGGACGCACTCACTCTGTGGTCGGTCGTGAACACGCATGCAGAGCGGTGCACGTCGCGCTGCGCGTCGCGGCGTCGGCACCAACAAGAGGAAAAAATAGAAAAGGTTCGTAAAGAAAATGAAAACACACAGAGAGCTGAGCCGGAACTGGAACGCCTCAGTGTCAACACGTTTGAAAACCAAGAGATTTATCAGCGTGATATCAAATAAAAAATTTCTCCTTCAAACAGAATTTTATCTCATGGCTTCATGTCAGATCTACAGTATGTCACTTCCCTCATTCAAAACAACAACAAAAGACTCAGTTGTTGTCGTCTTCATTGTTCAGCAGGTTTTAACCTGCAGCTGAATCCTCCACAGAGATCTCCTCCTCTCCACAGCAGACGGACCAGGTGATTCAATAAAGCAAATTAATAAAAGCAGTTTCACGTTACAGATCAGTGTTTCAGCGACACTGTTCGCTCTCGGAGCGGCTGCGAGCCGAGCTGTCCAACATCTGCACAGTTTGTTTCTCTGATAAAACTTAAGATCCAGACGTCCACTGCACAACTCATGAAAATATAAAAATAATGAGGAAACTTATTATAACTTTAACTGATGTGAATTTGTTGGAAGAGTTTTAATTGTTATTTGATCTCTCTGTTGTTACCTACGACATGTTTTTAGTTTTCATGATATAATAATAATAATAATATAATAATAATATAATAAACTTTCTCATGGAGCTGTTGCTCTGTGATTAATTAAAGATCTGTTTCCTGCAAACAGCTGAGTGCAGTGTGGTGTCAGTGAAAGGTCTCTTGTGCAATCGTAGTCGTTCATACTAATGAAATATTTTATCTGAAGACACGGACTCTCACCGTTCTCTTTCCGTAGGCGGGAGATGAACTTCTTGGGCGGGATGACGCCAACTTTCTTCTTCTGCGTGGCGATGGAGTGGAAGAGGTCTGCCAGGCACGTGAGCAGGTTCTCCTTCTTCTTCTGCTGGGCTTTGTAGGCCAGCACGTTCTCCCGGAAAGGCCGGCAGAAGTAGAGCGCCTGGAGCACCGAGTTACAGTAACATGTGTTTCCAAACTGAGGAGGGAACAAACAACAGAGGAGAACAAAAGAGGTTTCAGTCTGATCATCAGTTATCCGGCTCTTTTGTTTGTATTCATCTGGCAGACACTGTGTTCAGGGTGTTGAGAAACTCGGGTCTTTATGTAAATGAAATATTAACGAGACAGCACATCCCCACATCGGCCGACAGACTCACAAACAACAGTTACCTCCAGCAGAGGACAACGACTCACCGGCGTCCCGTGGCAGTTTGTTTTGAAACACGACGCCGGTGTTTTTTTGTAAAATGACCTTTGTTAATGTAGGAGAGGATTTGGCGATACTCACATTGACCAATCCAAAGTAGTGTTCATTGATTGGAAACTGCTCCGGGCCGATGTCTTTCTCCAGAGCAGAGGCATTGGTGCCCTGAGAGGACAGAACAGGAGGACATGGGATTGTGTGTTTAGTCATCACCTTCATCTCAGATAACAGTTTGCATATTTGTCTTTATGGAGCCAGTCTGTGTGTACATCTCTAAATTAAAATGGAAGCAACAGGCTACTGACACTTTACGAGATAAACCAGGAGCAGTACATCTGATAAAAACACGGTTCTTTCTTCCCATAAAATGTACAAAATCCCGCTCATCTGGATTCCTACGCTTTCCAGAAAAGAACACTTCCTGTCCAAACAGAAACAGGATACGGCCTAAATAGGCAGACCCATGTCAAAAAGTCAAGAGTATTGCGCCTGATTGCTGAGACGGAGCACTTATCTCATGTCAGAGCCCTTTCACCTGTCACAGCTCAAAGCTTTTCCAACATCAACCGCAGCTTTGTCGAGGCGAACACAGGAGACAATTTAGTTTGAGGAAAGGCTTCGACTTTCAATGACTCTCATTTCTCTCTGTCAAAGCAGACCGTGAATGCCTCTTTGTCCGATTTACCGCTTCCAGTCTGAGACGCCACAGTGGCACATGCAGGCACTAGGTAGATGATATACTGTACACACACACACACACACACACACACACACACACACACACACACACACACACACACACACACACACACACACACACACACACAGACACAGACACAGACACAGACAGATTCTCCTCTTGTGGGAAATCTTACAATGCAAGAACAAGTATAATGCGAGGCTTCATTCTACGAGAAACGGTCAGGAAATGTTGAGCAAAGTCAGGAGGAGTGTGGCTGTCGTAGACCTGAAAGAAAGAAGCTGAAGTGTCCACGCAGCCTCCGCTGACACCTGATGCCTCATTCTGACATTTAAGCTCCTCATTATAAACAGCAGGCAGTGGCATCCTTTTATTTTGAAGGGGGGAGGAGGGGGGGAACCTAAAGAAAACAGGGCGGGTCAGGACAATCTGAACTATGACTGTGGCGGAGCAGAGGACGCTTTGAAGAGTCATGACTCCCACAGACTGTTGTCGCTCGCTTTGTATTAATCATCGTCTTCTGCAGCTGGAAACTTTCTCTTGAGAATATATTGCAAACAATAAATTACACTCTGAGCAGGAGGCCTGGAAAGAAAAAAAGAAACTCCTAGTGTTCCTTTAAGAAAAACACGTTGCAGAAAATCAGTGTAACCATGACAAACTCTCATTAGTCTCATTAGTCTCTTTCAGGTCGTGCATTCCCTCTTTATCGGCTCCGGACCACATGCACCAGCTCCTGTGTCTCAGGATCATTTCAGTTCGATTATATTGCAAACATTTTTCATATTATGATAAATCAATATTCATTTCAATCAATTAAATGTAAAGTTGAAACAGTGACTTTATTAATTGACAGGAAACTGATAAACAGTTGGGGTTTTTTTTCAGCATGTCATTAGATAGAGACAGTAGAGAGTGACAGGAAGGGCGAGAGAGAGAAAGAGAAAGAGAGAGACAGAGAGACAGAGAGAGAGACAGAGAGAGAGAGAGAGAGAGAGACAGAGAGAGAGAGAGAGAGAAAGAGAGACAGAGAGAGATAGAGAGAGAGAGAGAGAGAGAGAGGATGACCTGCAGCAAAGGGCCCGAGCTGGATTTGAATCCAGGCCTCTGCGGTAAGGACTCAGCCTCGATAGTGGTCCAACAGGAACCCCAGTATTATGACAGTAAACCGAATGTCTTTGGGTTTTAAACTGTTGGTTGGACCAAAGAATTAAACTGAAAACATCTGGGGAAATTATGATGCCAAATGTTTGCTGGTTCCAGCTTCTCTAATGTAAAGATTTAATGTTTTTCCTTTTCATATCTTAGGCTTTTGGACTGCTGGTTAATAAATGCATCACTTTGAACTGTGGGAATATCATACCGGGCCTTTCTCACTATTTCCTGACAATGCAATTAGTCGTTAATTGCTAGCTGCAGCCTTAATTGGAAAAACATTCATAATAAAGGGTGAGTTCATCCACAGGCTGACTGCACAATGAGACACTGGATGTCACAGAGTCTTTCAGGACTGTCTGTATTAACCATTTAGACCCGAAGCTCATTCAGTTCACACAGTGCTGACACAGTACAACAAGTCAGAGTCAGTGTGTGTCATTCATGCACTCACACAGGCTGCAGGCTCCTGGCATTAGCATCACTTCTAAATAAAGTGAAGGCCAATGGCATTAAGCAGAGCCGTTTAAGTCTGTTCCCACTTACTCCTCACTGGTCCCTGAACGCAACGTAAACACAGATTAGTGCAGATCCCTGCTCTCTGCCACCAGGATGTATCCGGTCTTCTGCAGCACCGAAAACATTATGCAATCACAACAAGCTGCTTCCTTCACCTGTCAGTCATCCACACACACGCGCGCGCACACACAAACACACACACACAGCAACACGCAGAGGCGGGGGGCTGTGCATGGAGGTCTACGGTGCAGGTTTTGGGGTGCAGGCCTGTCTGGAGAACCAGGACCTGCAGAACCACACACCGTGCATCCTTGCTAGAAAGATCCTGGATCCTGCACAGTGTGTCCGGGAAGGAGGGAGGGAGGGAGGGAGGAGGAGGAGGAGGAGGGGGGACTCACCCATGAACATCCTCATACACCAGGTACAACACAGAGGCTGCAGGCGGATCGATACCAACACACACACAAGCAGCGAGTTACTCACCATATTACAAATGGAGGCGATGTTTCTGACAGTCATTTAGTTTACAGTGTCCCCCTCGCCGCCATCTTTATAAAATAAACATGATTTCAGGGCAGGGCGACGCTGAGAAATGAAGTTTAATTCGCAGCCGCGGCTGGAGGCCGGACTGCAAAACCCCAGGCGTCGGAAAGCAGGCGGAGAGACGCGGAGCACCGTGCAGCCAGCGCGGAGCCGAGGGTCAGGCCGAGCTCAGCGTCCACACGGCCGCATCCTCACGCACACCTCGCCGACACCACAGCTGGAACCCGCCGGTGCATGAGTGAGCGGCGGACAGACGAAGTTGCAAGGCAGCAGGTTGTTAGCAACGAACCGGAGACAAGCGTGATGTGTGAGGAAGCGCAGAGGCCCCGCCCACTCCGAGGGGGGAAACTCCGGATCTGATTGGTTCGGATGGTCTCCGTTTGATCGACAGCATCACGGCTCCACACGCAAACCTGCACGGCAAAGCTTAGCTGAGCTGCAACCAATCAGCAGCGACTATATGAAGCGGTGGCTGTAGGGAAATGTAGTTTATTTGTTTGAGAGACATTTAAAGAGATGTAGGCTTTATGCAAATCATCTTGAGTTGTAGGGCTTACTAATTTTTCTAATTGATTTATTGATTTAAAGAGGATGATTGTATATAATTTAATTAATTTGGTCTTTTTAATATAAAAAAAGAATGAAACGAGAGATGTGAGCTCAGAATGGGTATTTACTTCAAATCACTAAAATCCAATTAAATTGAGTTCACAACAATATAAAAACAGAAAATTACATTTGAAAAGTCAGAACCAGCAGCAGTGGAATTAATTTTATTTATTTATTTATTTATTTATTGTGAAAATACTTTGTTTTCAGCAGCTGTTTTCAGCAGTAATGCAAACCTTTACACTCTGGCAGCTTAGTGTTGCACACTTGTTATCAACATTTTGCAGACTAAATCCTTTCATTTGCAGCTCCTCTGCTCCCTGACCTGCCGTTAGCTGACCATAGCTAACGAGAGGGGGGGGGTTAAACAGTTAAGTGTCCTCGCTGCAGAGCTCTGCAGGAGTCCCGGGCCCTCAGGACGCTCCCAGTCACCACCGGCTTTGATGGTGCTTTCACAACAATCAGCAATTATCTCCTTAGCATGTGAACAAAAAGAAAGGAAAACAACAAATAATTATGATAAACATTCTTCAAAAGGAATGGGAAAGGAGAGAGGGATAAAAGTATTCACAGAAAAACAGAACAGCATGGCTGCCAGTTGGAGGCTCATTGTTGATCGGAGCTTTGGTATGTAACAGGGCTTTATTGAGAGATTTGTTGATTGATGAGTTCCCATCGGTTTATTTTTGAACACTTTTGATTGACGGGGAAACAATCGCATGTGGCGCTCAGCTCGTGGGCTCCACATACAAAACGTTCCCAGACTTACGTTCTATTTCAGTCCAGTCAGTATTAATAGGATTGAGGGGAACTGAGGATGCAGCTGCCCTTTTCCTGACTCATACTGCTTTTATTTATTTATTGCAGCACTGATAGATATGGATAATGGACTTAATGTAAAAAAAGAACTATATGTCACGTACATTCATCGACATCCTGAAACCAAAACAGGAATAGAAATAGCTGCAGCTCTGAACATCTGAGCTTCTGAGATCAAACCTTTTGTGTTTCAGGTTTTGCAGCGTACGTGAATGAACAGAGAGAGAGGGAGTGAACTCTGTCTGCATTTGTTAGGAGTTTTAATCTCTCTCATCCACTATGTGTTTTCCTCTTCATGTTTGGATGGAGCTGACAGGGCTTTTGTTGTTTTGGGGGTTTTTCTTTTTCTTTTCTTGTCCTGCCCGTAGGTGAACCTCAGAGGACCCTCTCTGCTCGCCTCGGTGGAGATCAGAAGTTGGACTGAACGTTTAGACTTTCATGTGGGTGCACGTGCATCACACGCAGACAGACAAACACACAAGAGGAGGGGGGAGAAAAAAAAAGAAAACCTGGAGCTCAGGAAATGTTTCCAGTAAATGAGGCTGGCTGAACTACTAAAAGCACTGATGGCCTTCCTGTCGTTCGTGCTACAAAGAGAGGGAAATGAATTATGCATCGTCTCTGTACGAGAACATAACTCTCCAGTTTAAAGTCTGATTTATTGCAGCCCGGTGACATTTGGCTCGGGCTTCTGAAACATGGAGGTTAGGAACAGTCTATTATGACTGTTTTATAGGAATTTACTGGCAACAGAGAAACGATTCTTTGTCGCTGCACCGGTATATGTGGCAGGGACTGGGGTGGATTGTGATGACTGCAAATACAAAATTAGATTTTCAACTTACGGATGTTTGAGGAGACATTTCTTTATTAGAAGATTAATTCACCATTTGACATTTTACTTCACTTTTTTCCAGTTTTGTTCAAAACTAGTCTCTTTGTCAGTGCTCTATAATAAAACAGTCAGAGGTGGGACATGAGTCACATGACTTGACTTAAAGTTCCTCTCCAGATATGTTTAAAGCTGTGTAAAAAAAAATCCTCAGCTATAGTTAATATGTTGTTTAATATGATTTTCCCTCATAAAAAGAGAAGAGAAAATTGGAAAACTGTGTCTGAAGCTCATCTCCTCTCACTTCCTCATCGAGAAAACTGGATCAGGACACTTGCCCCGCCCACCAGGTGAAAGAGCCGGATGCTCTCAGTCGAGTTCAATCCTCCACATTAAAGAAAGTGATAACCTGCTCTCCTCTGGCCCCTCCTCCATCCCTCCACCAAACGAATCGGTTCAGTACACTTTGGGTAATCCTGCTGACAGATAAACACACACAGGTGAGAACACAACCTCCTTGGTGAAGGTAATGGTAATAATGAGGCTAATAATAATGATCTGGACTCTACGTCACCACAAAATGTCAAATAAGGTTTATAAGGTGTGAGCAGCTGCTACAGGTTTGGTTAACGTTGAAAGTAAAACTAAACTTTTCATGACTTCAGTCTTAAACTGATTTAAATGTGGAAACTGTGGCTCATCATCAGTAACTCGGGACTCACTAACGTGTGACGTGTTCCTGCCTCTGACAACAGTCGTATTGATTTTACTTATAAAACATGGAAACAAATAATTCTTCTTGTGCATGTTTTCTGTGTGAATATAGAAATAACACAGCGACAGCAGCAGGAGGCCGATAGCTGCTCCACTGACAGATGCTGATGGTTTTATTGCTGATCAGTTCAGTTTAAATGAAAACGTTCTTCACATATAAATAATTAAACTTGACCCATACATTGATCTCCAATCACAATCCACAATCCAATATATTGTACTAGATGTGATTTGTATCTGGGTCAAAGACACATTCCTCAGTCTGCGTTCGTCACGGCTCCCCCCCCCCCCCCCCCCCCCCCCAACACCAACACCTAATAAACATTGCCTTGTCTTGTATTAACTGAGGTGGGACAAAAACAAGATAATAAGGACTTGGCCAGAACAGAGAGAACAGCTAAGACTAGAAGGGCGGCGAATTATTATTCGCACACAGCTTTGGCATGCTCATTTGCTTTTAGTACACTTTGTTCCAAACAGACTCATCTGTACTCTAGTTTACATGTACGGCACCCGAGCTTCTATAAACAGAACACGGCAGGTTGGGTAATGGCCGTCACTGCTCGGTGGATGTGTAACAGGCTCGCCGCTGGTCGGCTCTTTTCTGTGGCATCACAACAGGGAATACAGAGAAATGACTCGGGGGTTGAGCACGTTGTTATCTATCTGTTATTTTGTCAGAATAGTTTAGAATAGTTGTTTAGGTGAGAAAATACAGTTCCTGTGAAAAGGACTCACTCTGTTTTCTTCAAAATTGATTTAATGTGGGTTTTTTTTTACCTGGAAAGGCGCCTTTTACGTCAAAGTGAAAACAGATCTCCATGATCTTGATTAATAAGAATATAGAACACTAAATAGTTGTTTACATAAGTATTCACCCCCTTCAAGTCAGTATTTACTAGATGAACCTTTGGCAGCAATTACAATCCAGCCAATCAGAAGAGAGGAGGCTGTTGAGGATGTTGATGAAGAGAACTTTACAGACTAACAAAGCAGAAACTCACATGATGCATTTTACAATGACAACAAAACAAATCCATAAACGATCATTCATTCTGATATGACATCAATGTTCCACAGCCTCCTCCTCCCCCTCCTCCTCCTCCTCCTCCTCCACGGTGCTCCTTAACTACCCCAAAATGCCCCTCTTCTGCTCCACATCCATTTTTTACAGTCGGTGAAACAGCGACGGCGGCACAATAGCTGCACTGTTCTCATAACACAGACCAGGGAGCCGAAGAGTTCAGTGTGACCATCTAATACAGGCAGCCCTAGAAACTGGATCTCTGTGTGTGTGTGTGTGTGTGTGTGTGTGTGTGTGTGTGTGTGTGTGTGTTATCACGTGGGTGATGTATAGCACCCAAATTGAAAGGAGCACAAATGATGTTTATATAACGTTCACTCAACGGTTAATTCAAACACTCAGGTCTGTTATAGGAGTGAGAGTGTCAGTGGATAATAGCTGCAGTCAGTCTATATAAAGCACTGGCCTAGTTTTTATCAACTTCTCACACAATCCACACAAGGAAAGTAGCTTTCACACTGACTCTGAATAAAAGGAGAATAAACTGTGGCTCCTCATTCAGAACTGAAGCCGTCCGTCTAACTGGCCTAAAATGAGTGTATATCATAAATCTGCATGCCATTTGGAAAACAACACTATCCAACACACACATACACACACATGCCCATGTACCGTATCCCCTGCACATTTTCCCTCATCTCTATAGGAGCTCTAGATTCCTGTGCTGCCCCCCCCCCCCCCCCCCGGAGTCTCTGAAGCATCTTGTCCTGATCAGGGCCAATAACAATAGATCTGCTTGTATAACGGGGATGTCTACAGTGAGCTGAGATGGCTGCAGAAGGCAACGGAGCTTGACCCACTTTCCAGTCCCGTGAACCGCATTCATTCACTCTGCCAGGTGCTTGAGAGACAGACGGTCTGCCTGGTGATTGCACCTCATCGAGCCTCGACACATGAGATTTTGATGTAACAGGGTAAAAGACCCTGAAACAAGTTATGTGTTTGAATGGACACAAAAGCTTAAATAACACTGAGCCTCATCCACCAATATGTAAGTATTTTCTTTAAGTCTTTCTTAAGTTGTTCTTATTTTACAAAGCATTATGGTCTTTTAAAGTAAATGAACGCTACATTAACTCTGAACCGCTCGTTAGCAGCGCGGTTCCTGCAGCAGTTCCTCCACTTCAGAACCACTAACGTTCCTTCTGCGTTTTGGCATTTTCTCAACTTTCCCTCGCGGCG